TCCTACTTCACGATATCCAAAAAAATGTCGCGGTGAAGCATCATGCCCATATTCCCGTGATCGTGGTACTCGCGAGCCAGACTCCTTATCCAAGCGTCCCACGTTCAATCACACCTTGAACCAGCAACAGCAAAACTAGCGGTGGCAGTTGAAGATACCAAGACAACCAAGTACTCAGCTGGTGAGCTCGATTTCCTCGTGGCTTGTTAGCTCCACGCTAGAATTTCAAATCGCTTCACAGTGCTGAGCGACCGTTGCGTCGGACGAGCAGATTTTTGCAAGCATTTGGTTCATTGCTTTTCCTTATCAACCCAAGCAAAGCTGATGCCGCTTGATGCATGTCACGACGCTCAGAATGACGGCACGTTCCAGCTGTCGATGGTGTCTGGTCCTGACTAGCCTAGCCGGCTGTGCTAACCGCGCTATCTTTTACCATGGGAAGCTAGTTGCAGCAGAGCAAACGGGTGAGAGGACGGGAGGACGATCTATTAAGCTCTAAGTATGTCCTTGTTCCTCTTACGGGGAGGAATACCGCCTGTAGCTTTACTTCTGCTGGTGTGCGCACCGTCATATGTCGTCTCGACCGAGGCCCCCCTTTTACGCCGACAAAGAATTCCTCGACAACTTGGGAATGCGAGGCGGAGGAGAAAACATGTGCCAACATGAATACAAACAATAATTGGAACCAAACATGGCCTGATATGCGTGAGAATGCTCGCTCATCCCATAGCACGCACTAGTTGCAGGTATCATCCCTTCGGTATGACCGGGAATAACCGACCTCTGCTGGAGTATAGTAGCTTGACCAGGGTGTGGCTCGACGCCAAAAGGGAGATGAGAGGAGAGAAAAGAAACCATGCCCTCGATGATTGCCTTCAGACAATTATGGAGTCTAGACCAGACAGCAGAACACACAAATATGGCTTGAGCGGGGGCGAGATATAAAGGGGTTTGCGAAAAAGCCCAAGTGGAGCAGCAGACAGTCTGGTGGGCAATGGTTGAGCATCTTTATGAATCTGTTTGGCAAAGGCAGAAGACTCAAGGGCAACAGTAGCCAGTCAGTCCGATCGGTAGCAGTCGAGTATCTTCAAGCACATGTCTGGCAGAGACAAGAGATGACAACGTGACGAATGGCGCACCAGCCCGGTTTAGCGCTCTCCTCAACATATGCAATGTGGAAAAGAGGGCACTTCGTGTCGAGAGGGTGTTGGAGCCTCCTATGACACCCCAAGGCTCCTCAGAGGCGTACTATATGACGGTCTGCTGTGTGACATTCTCAACTGCAGTTCGACATCGGAGGTGGAGTGGGCGCGGAGGTTCCCATTGATGCTCATTCCCTTCACTTGCTTCCACACGGTGAGCCTCTTGGATAGTCACTCGATGAGGTCGCTGAGGATCCCGCGGTACTCGTCAGACTTTCTCGCTAGCTTCACACCTTACCGGCCAGGCGGATATGAGGCGTGATGCCCCCGTCACGATCGGAATCTATTGTAGGTAAACCTGCTACGAGAAGTTATATGCTGGTTGAGAACCTGGCCGGCCTATTGGAGCATTCAATAGTAGGGAGACTCCTGGTGAAAAGGAAAGAAAAAGAAAGAAAGCGGAACCGCCAAAGCCCGCATCTCCAGGATCACGGCGCGTCTTGAAAACACATCACTCGCATGACCCCAGGCCGGATTCGTCTGTGACGCCGTTCCGACGAGGCTCGATATGTACAGTCAAGCCCTGTAGCAAGTACCAGGGTAAGTCTTCTGAGCATCATTGGGCAGGGCATGTTACTTGGGGGGTTTGTCACTCGACGGCAAGTCCGTGTGCGCTGATCATAAGCCAGGGGGCCCCCTGACCACGACTGCACCCATCGTGCGAAGCCGTCATGTCGACTTTGCAGATCGATCCCGTGTTTACAGCACGGAGGCACGGAGTACAATACGAGTACGCGCGCGGGACGCGCAATTGGAAGACTAATCGCCGATGGCACAGTTCCCTTCCAAAGCTGACCGAGCCGGGGTCGCTCTTGAGTTGTGCTCCACGGTGCACGCCTATCGAGACTGAAGTTTCCTTAGCAGCACTTCGTCTTGGCCAGCCAGCCATTTATTTTGAGGCGTCGCCGACTAAAGCAAAGGTCTCGACGGTGATGATAGCAAGAATTTGTCAGAGGCCCGGACTGACGAATATGGCTTTGCTGTGTTGCCCAACCTCCCGCCCCCCCTTTTCCTTGGCCCCCGCCTCTTCTTCCTCCCCTCCCTCTCCCGCTCCCCGAGGGATTTATATCTCAACCACTCAGCGGCGACTACTTATGCCGACGACAGACGCTTCGCATTAGGTCCATAAGAGGCTTTTCCGTTGGGGTGTTGGATCGTTCCGGGGCTTATTTAGGGCGACAGCACGGGCAGATGCCTGGCTTTTTCGAACGAGAGACATGGGACCTGTCAACGAGCCGGGGGTGATTCCCTGTCCCTCCGGATTCTGGACTCTGATGTCTCAGACAGCCAGCCATTTCGAGAAGGAGCAAGAGCTGGAGTTTCCCCAGATGGACTTGTCATCCCGGCGGGCCGGCTCGCCGTCGCAGACTTTTTACTTGCTGGTCGGGGAAAATAGCCTCTGAGACGAGTAGGATGACGTGCGCTGTCTTACACCTTTCCTCACCGCAGCCCCGGAGATGCACGATACTTTTCATACATGAACAGATTATTGAAGACATTCATGCTAAGTTCGGGCTGCTATTCTCGGGAGGTTCGGCTCAAACCCCTGCTCTGAGTGCTCCAACTGCTGGAGTATCGACCGAGCGGAGAAGAGGCGTAGGACGTGCAAAAATGAAGCGTAAGAAAACGAAGCAAGTCACCTGCATGTTGATGCGTCAACATTGTGCCCTCGACGCACCAGACAGGGCCAGGTTACTCGCAGCATTGGGCCGTGACTTGCCGACCTTGTTGATATGCTTTATGAATCACTCGTCATGTTCGATTTTCATAATGAGTCTTGGCCTGCATCTATGGCAGATGCTGAGCGGCTTGGTTCATTATGCTAGGAGCAAGATGGACCAGTCGGTGGCCATGCGTGCATAACTACTCGCCCTGTGGCCATACATGCACGCAGAGGACTTAAAGTACTGCAGGAGGCAAGGAGGCAACTTGTCAGGCTGTCTCGTACGACTGTGTGTAAGAGTGATGATTTGATAGTAGTACATTTGATTTAAAGGTGCGACAGAAGAGGCACGGGATGTAACATGAGGTCCGGCCCTCGCACTGCCAAGTCGTGCACGAAATCGCCTGTCCAGCCTCTGCGACGCGAGACAGATGTTGCCGTCTAATTTGCTCTGCATGATGCTGTGCTCTACGACTACGCGTAGCCTCTAAGCTCAGGGGATAGCGAGCTGTAGCCGAGGCTCGGCTGACGACTGCATGGCGACGCCAGCGTGGTGCATATAGAAATGATTGCCTGCCAAGGCAGTATCGTATCAGCATGGGTTGATAGTAAACTCGGTTCTCTATATCTTCCTGGTACGTAGTAGGCATATACTGTCGACTACTCATCCACTCAGGAGAAGAAGGCACTTGGACTGCCCCTGTCACCCCCCTTTTTCATTTTCCCTTGGATAACTGTCGCCCCCAATCCTCGATCGAATAGGTAAAGATACTTGAAATCAGCCACCAGTGCCCGTGCCGAGCCTTTGAAAACGCGGGGTCAGACTGGAATGAATTCGGCTGCCTGGCGAGAGCTATCTCGGTTGACCTCTTCGTTGCCACATACGTAAGAGGGCCCGACCATTAGCAGTTGGGTATCCATTCCAGGCGGCAGCCGTCCTGGCCACTCGTGGTGTTGCGACTACCCCTCGCAACCCAAAAATTGGCCTCTCGTCACTTGTCCAAAAAGTGTTGGAACGGAACCGAACCAAGAGATAGGGAGGTTCTTCTTCACCAACGACGGCGCGCGTTCTGAGACACAGTGGAATTCCAGTCAACATCGACCTTGCTTGGGCTAACACATCTCCTCCGACATGTCTTTGGACGAAGCTGTTATATTTTCAAATGGACCACTGAGGTCACAAATCCACGCCGCCAGCCGTTGGGAGGTGGTCGCATGATCAATACCCATGGGACCATCGGCGGCTGAGTGACCGACGGCGCGAGGCAAAGTCGAACATTCGGGCTGAGCAAAAGAGCATCCTCAACAGGAGGAGCACGGACGGTGCGTGGGAGGGCGTGTCAACGATCCCGGCCGACATGGCATGATGGTCATACGACGACCAAGGAATCCAAACAAGTTGGCCAGAGCTATAGCCCGCCACCGGCGGCACGCCATCGCAGCTGCGCGGGATGGTGCCCCGATCCCTCGACGACGAGAGCAAGGAGCGCGCACGGGTTCAAGCTTGTCCGCCAATCTGTCTTCCGCCACCACCATCGACGTCGTTGGAGGGACTCCTGACTCAGTGGCGGCTCACAGGGCGGCCGAGGAGGGGGGGGGCGTATCTCGCCCTCGAGCACCATTTCTGCTGAAGTCTGAGCACGGGCGAGGCCGCGGACCAAGACATGGACCCTCTGCGCTGGCGCTACGATGGAATGTCTTGGGCGCGCTCGACGCTGCTATTTCCATCCCGCCGCCCGCCGCCCGCCGCCTAGCACTTGGCCGTTTCGAGGTTGCCATCGAGCACGTCCGATTGCAAATAACTCGAATATGGAGGCGGGGGCGCTATGCTGCGAAGTCCGTGGCCGTGAATATCGGCTGCAGGTAGTCCGTGGGTGGCGGTTCACGCAAAATGCGGAAACGAGCCCTGCGATGACCTCTCTTCGAGGCCACGGGTAGACGCACGTTGTTGAGTCTTGCAATGTGGACGAGACCGGGTTATGTAGTATTGAAGGTCTTGATCCTCCTAATTAGGCTCCAAAGTAAATACCCATGTCTTTCTCGACCATGAGCTAAGTCGTTCCGTTTTACACTCCTCCAAAGACTCACATATTATTTACGCCCTTTCCTCCTTCAGGCTCTCTCGTCTCAGATCCTCAAAGGCCACTGTGCAGCGCACGAATAACCACCATGGCTCCCCAAGCGCCGGGGTCAGGGGGAAGCTCCTGGTCACCACTCGACCCGGCCCCGACGTAGGTCGCCCTGCCCAGCTTGGGCTTCATCTTCTTGGTCGCCTCGGCTCCCTGTACGGCCGCGCGGACGCCGTCGTCGAAGCCGGCCTTGCTCATGGCCTCGGCAAGGGGGATCAGCGTGTCCATGACGGTTCGGTCTCCGACCTTGGCGGGCGTGTAGCGTCGCAGGCTCTCGAGAGCGGTCGAAAGCGCCGCGGCCCACAGTGCCACGGGGCCCTTGGAGGAGGCGAGCTCAATGTCCTTCTCGACGGCGGCACGGAGGGAGACGAAGAAGATGCCCAAGATGCCGCCCAATGTTCCTCCCATCTTGCTCTCCACAATCTCCTCCAGCTCCAGGAGCACCTTGACGACCGAGCCCGACTTGGCGAGGCCCTGGTCTAGAGCAGCAAGCAGGCTTGTTGCCCCCGTCTTGAGCGTCTCGCCACAGTCACCGTCCCCCATGACCGTGTCCCACTTGGTGAGGTCGGGCTCGGCTTCGACGAGCTGGTTGCAGGCGTTGCGCAGCATCTTGTCCAGCACGCCTGCGTCGACCTTGAGGTCACGCTTGTCGTCCACCGCCCTGCGCTCTTCTTTGGGGGGCCGCACAAGCTGCTGCTGCCGCGTGCGACGCTTGGTCTGTGAGCCGGCCACGGACTCCCAGCTCGTGTTGGTCTTGACATCGAAGAAGGCCTTGATCTCGTCGACCGAGTATCTGCAGTTGTTGGCGGCGGCGGTGACGTTGATGACTGACAGAGAAAAGGCCGGCGCGTTGAGCGATGTCTCGAGGAAGCCAGCGCAGACGCGCGCAGGCTCCATCTTCCAGTTGCGCGCGAGCTGCTCAAGAACCTCGTCGACGAGGGCGCCCGTCTCGAGCAGCGACATGCCGCCAAAGTTGCTGATGAGGACCATGGTCTCGTCACCGGGGTTGAAGTTGACGTAGCCGCGTTCCGGGTCATTTTCGTCCAGGCAATGCTGCAGTATCTGCCGCACGAGCTCCGAGGGCGTCGGGATGGGAGACAGTTTCTTGTAGCCCGGCTCGTTGTGCGGACCGGTGCCAATCTCGACCTCGTTGTCGGCCAGCATGCCGTGCTCGGTCCGGCCGGGTACGTGGCAGTGGTCGAGCGTCGCGGCCATAGACACAATCTGCTGCGAAAGGGCCAGGCCCAGGTTGTAGACGTCGTCGAGCGATCCTCCGGCGCCGGCAGCACCGCCCATGACCTTGAGGACGCCAATCTGGCCGGCCAGGCCTCGGCGGCCAACCATGCTTCCTCTTTTACCGACGGAGACGTCATCGCCGCAGATGATCATGCGCGACTTGTGTCCCTTGGCGTTTGCCTTTTCGTTGGCCAGGCCAAAGTGCAGACAGTCGCCGGTGTAGTTTGTGACGACGAGGATCGTGCCCTTGTCACTGGGCACGGCCTCGATGCCGGCCAGGATCTGCTTAGTGCTCGGGCTGGCAAAGATGTCGCCCTGGACGGCGGCGGCCAGCATGTTGCTGCCGACATAGCCCGACCATGCCGGCTCGTGGCCCGAACCGCCGCCGCTGATGAGGCTGACGGCCGACTTGTCGTAGGCGGTGTCGTAGACGATGCGGTTGGCCTCGTCGAGGCTGAGGGAGGGGTTGTACGAGACAATGCCCCTCAGGGCCTTGTTGACGAGGCCGTCGGGCGAGTTGAAGAGGTGACGCTTGGACATGGTTGAGAGGGCAAAGGGTCCCGGGGCGTTGGTGCCTCGTGGGTTGCTGTCGGAATCTGCTCTCGCGCGAGAGAGACGCGGCTAGTGGCTGAAAGAATAGCCGGCTCTTGGCTCTTGCGTGTGAACTCTTCTCTCCAGGAAGAGGCGCTCTAACCTGCAACAGATCAACTTTCAAACATGTTATCCGTCAGTCGTCCCGAGGGGGGCGTGTAAGTAGGCAGTCAATTGCTATCACGGGACAAGCACCAACTCGCCCGAGGCTTCCGCCAAACAGGTCCAGCATGATGATATCGGGCTACATTTCCCCGCAATAAATCGAACGGACCCCTCATCACCGGGAGCTCTCGTCTGACATCAAACGCAGAAGAGCCTCGCGTCCGTCTCACAGCCGGATTTCCCCATCCGGAAACCCGTCTCCTTGAAGCCACAACCCCCCACATTGTGGAAACAGACAGCTCCTGCACGATGGACTCGGCTAAGGCCTTGTTTGCCTGCTAGGATGAGGGGCCCCGTGACGCCATGTACGAGTCTATGCACCGTCAGCGGAGTCCTGTTCCTGAGGCCGGATGTTGGTGGGGCCTGAGCGGTGGCGAGCCGAGTTTCGGGAGAGAAGCGAACGAAACCGGCGGCCTGGCTCTGCTTCCAAAGGATACTCGGGGTCAAAGTCGGTTTACAGCTCCCATCATACCGAATCTTAGGTCAATTCTCCCAATTAACCCCCCCTTTGTGCATCGTTTCTCCGAGCTCGAGTATGGCGCCGTCATGGAGAATCGCCATAGGCTGCGATGTAAGTTGCAACCCCCCCAGCGCAGCACGAAATTGAACGAAGCTGAGGGCCAATGGCAGGAAGCTGGAATCTCGTACAAGGACGCCATCAAGCGCGACTTCGAGTCCGACAGCCGTGTAGCCGCAGTCATCGACGTCGGCTCACACGAGGGCACTGACAAGACGGCCTACCCAACGCGGGCGGCAGCAGCGGCGCGCCTCGTCGCCGAGGGCAAGGCAGACCGGGCGCTGCTCATCTGCGGGACTGGCCTGGGCGTCGCCATCTCGGCCAACAAGATCAAGGGCATCCGGGCGGTGACGGCGCACGACAGCTTCAGCGTCGAGCGCAGCGTGCTGAGCAACAATGCGCAGGTGCTGTGCATGGGCGAGCGCGTTGTCGGGCTGGAGCTGGCGAGGCGGCTGGCCAAGGAATGGCTTGGGTATGAGTTTGACACGGCGAGCGCGAGCGCCAAGAAGGTGGAGGAGATAGCCCAGCTCGAGGCCTGAGGGCAGGCGAGATGAGGGGACATGGGGATGTGCCTGGGGGAGGAAGGGGGGGGGGAGGATATGCCGCCTGGGAACACGAACATTGTGGTTTTGCAAGCCGTGAAGACACAGCAGAACCCGGTGAAGAGGTCAAATGACACAGCCATACTCTTGCACATAATCATCTAGATTTGAGCATTTTGTAGAGCCGGCCCCCGAGTCCCAACGCCGGGACCCAAACGGCCTTGCCCCGGGCGTTTTCTTGCCTCGCAACCCCAATGTGCCTGTCTCGCATAACACCAGGCACACAAAAGAGCGAGCGGTGAAACAAACGGTAGAATCAAACGGACAGAGTATCGGGTTGCTGTGTGGAGCGCCGGGGGTTCGGGCTTCGCCGGCATTCCCGATGCGGCAGGGCTGCCGGGTCCGGCCCGCAATAGAATCGTGCATATGTCTGCTCCTGCGTCATCCATCCATCGCGGTCGGCCACCAATAGCCATCTTTCTTCTCTTCGACACTTGACAATTGTTCCCTTGGCACATCGCAGCGCCCCGGCCGAATCCCGACGAGCGCCTCTTCCGACTCTTGGACGGCAGCGAGCCGAACCATCGGCTTCGACATGGCGGCTTCACCACCACGGCGGCGGCTCATCGGCCTGTCGACCAAGATGTACTTTTCCTTGTCGCGGACGCGGGACTTTGTCAGTCAGTTCCTGCAGCATCTGTCCGCCATCCCGCCGGACCAACTGTCCCAGGTCGACGTCTTCGTCATTCCCGACTTTGTCTCTCTTGCAGCCACCGTCGACCAGCTCAAGGCCTGCCCGGCCGCCGTCTGGCCCGGCGCCCAGGATTGCCACTGGGAGGACCAGGGCGCCTTCACAGGCGAAGTCAGCCCGGCCGTGCTTGGCGAGGCGGGCGTGCGCATCGTCGAAGTTGGCCACGCAGAGCGGCGGCGCATGTTCGGCGAAGACGACGCCACCGTCGCGCTCAAGGCGGCGGCCGTGAGCCGCAACGCCATGGTGCCCCTCGTCTGCATCGGGGAGCAGACGCGCGGAGATGTTTCCGTCGCCGTCGACGAGTGCCGCCGTCAGGTCGAGGCCGTCGTCGCCGCTCTGGGCGAAACAGCCGACATGGTCCTGGCCTACGAGCCCGTCTGGGCCATTGGCGCCAGCCAGCCGGCGGGCGAGGAACATGTGCTGAGCGTCGTCGACGGCATCCGCGCGCTCGACTGCGTAAGAGACAGGAAGGGGTCCACGAGGGTCGTGTACGGGGGCAGCGCAGGGCCGGGTCTGTACCAGCGCTTGAGCAAGGGGTTGGACGGCTTGTTTCTCGGCAGGTTTGGGCACGATCCGGAGCGGTTTGTGCAGACGATTCGCGAAGTAATCGAGGCTTGAGCTGCTTTGGATGGATGAGCCATGACCGGCTTTCTTTGCGGTCAAAGAAGCGAGAGTTTCAAGGCCATACTGGTACCAGACCCTGTCTCCTTCATGTTAGTCGGAGGGAAACCCGAGGGAGACCGAATGCATGATTTTGTCCATCTCAAGCTCTTCGCGGCTGTCGTGTGGGAAGCAGTTGCATTGCTGGTGTCGAGAGATGGGCTGGCTTTAAATCAAGACCTAACAGAGAGTGCAGTGTTCAACTGCAAGCAATTCATGGATGCGAAGGGCGCAGGCTGGAAAGAACATGAATCTCCTCTTTGAACACCCCGTGATACGACTCAATGTTCCGATGAGCTCGCTGTAACCATCACCGAGGGGCTTAGACTAATGGGACACTGAATCGTGTTTTTTCAGTAACCCCGGACATAACCCTGCCCAGCTATCGCTAGTTCAAATACGTAATGTCAAATAATCTTGATTGGACCAAGTCCTGTATGTCTGTCCCCTTTGGCAAACTCGCATATATGTCCTCGATGCATTGGGGCTAATTACTTGGAGCAGATCCTGACTCGTAAGCGTGAGGGGACGGGCTCTCCGCGAGGAAACCCGCCGGCCTTTCGCAGGACCAGGTGGACCAGCGCTATTAACAAGGCTTATTTCCATGCAAACATTTCGCTTCGCAGATTTCAGTCCACGATGAGGACTTGTCGCCTCGAATGTTGAAGGTTAGCGGCTTTCAAGTAATTGGGCAAGAAAGTGGCCTGATTTCTAGATCCCCTATGAGAAATGTGATTGAAATTGAGCTTAAGCTTAAGATCCAGTGTGACGAAACTGACATTATGTTTCCTGCCTCGATAAAGGCCTCTTTGCCAGCTGATGTTGGAAACAAGGGTGGCGCAGCCGACGGCACAAGTCGAACGAGACCCTCGCATGATAAAGGGATTTAATCATAGAATGACCCTCTCAAACTGGCCCAAAAGGAACCGGCTCAAAAGAGTCTACGGTAGATGATTGGGTCGTGTTTCTGGGTTTGATTGCATATCACAACCCGTGAAGTTATCGTCACTCGATGCTGCGCCAGCGAACAACTCGAGTATCCACACAGTTCATTGAATGAAGAGTGTGGCTCAGCAACTCGTACCATGCTTCAGGAATCACAGATAAATACGTACTTGGCACATGCCGTCAAGTGGAGAAAGGGCTTGATGCTTGAAAGGCCCCGCAACTCTTTGCCCAACCCCATGCCCGCGGGCCCCTGTGCGTGTGGAATCATTGTCTCCGCTTCGTCCGACTTCGATTCGTGCTACAGGCCTTGGCACTTTCTCGATGTGGAATCGCGTCACGTCTGATTCGACGCCGCTCGATGTCGGCGGCCCCAGTTTTGTTCGTGTTCCAACTTCTAGGTAGACATGCGTTCCCAGATCCCGGCATGGGATCATTATGGCCGTCTATTGTCCAGATGAACTAGTTAAACTGTCAAGCAGAGTGGGCAGGCAGCTTGAAGTGCTCCGCAGCGGCCATGGAATCTGGCCTGCGCAGGGCTGAGCTTCTGCCTTAGTCGTTTCTCCAGAGACCCTCTTCTTCGTGGAGCCTCTGGCTCTGAGCAAAACACACGCTCCAGGCATCTGACCACAATGGATATAAAGGGTCGAACAGAAGTCGTGGTCAACATGATGAAAGCATCCGGTCTCTTGCGCATCAGCCTCCCGAGCAGCACCATCTTTCGCAAGCATCAGCCCAACACTCGTTTTTGTATCATCCCAGCGCCGCTCTATTTCTACATATAAGCACCAATCGCATTTGAAAGATACAGTCGTCATGAAGTTCCTCAACCTCGCTGTCTTTGCGGCCACGACGGCTTTCGCAGCGCCCCAAATTGGGACCCAAGTCGAGAGTTCCAAGCGGACGCTCTACTTTCTCGATAGCGACCCGAAAGGCGCGTCTATTGTTGCAATACCGATTGGAGAAGACGGCCGCTTGCAGAGCATGAACGCCACAGGCGTGGTGCGGACGCCCACTGGCGGCAGGGGAGGAATCGGCATGGGCATGAACGGGACTGTCAGCGTCGGTCAGTTGCATCTCTCGATCCTTTCCAATTATCCCCGACTGATCTTGTAAACAGACCCTCTGTTCTCGCAAGACTCGGTAGTGGTCAAGGGCAGCCGGCTCTTCACCGTCAACGCCGGCAACAACACATTGTCACGGTTCTACATTCCCCAAAACGATCCCTTGCACCCGAAGCTCGTGGGCAAGCCCGTGGCGACGGGTGGCGAGTTCCCCAACACGGTGGCCTATTCGGAAAAGAACCAACTTGCCTGCGTCGCCAACACAGGCAAGAAGGCGGGCGTTCAGTGCTTCCGCGTTCCCGAGTGCGACCAGCTCGAGCCGGTGGGCGATTTCATGCCGCTGCCCATCAACCAGACGAGCCCTCCCATGGGCCCGGCAAACACGGTGTCCGACATCGTCTTCAACCCGTCTGAGTCGGCTCTTTTTGTCAGCGTCAAGGGTGACGGCATGGGCAAGGGATACCTCTACGCGTATCGAGTGAACAAGGGCGAGGTGGACCCGAAGCCCATCATTTCACGCCCCGAGGAGCTGCGTCTCGACTTCTCCCTGTCCTTCTTGTCCGACTCGGACGCTGTCATTACGGATCCGGCGTACGGAGCCTCGCGGCTGTCCATCTCGCCCGACCTTTCCGTCAGCGTCACCAACAACGTTACGATCCCCGGACAGACGGCCACCTGTTGGTCCGTCTACTCGCCCGAATTTCAAGCCGTCTACGTGTTCGATGGTGCGTCGCCCAACGTCACAGCCCTTTCGCCCGAGACGGGCGACATCAAGTTTGTCGTCCCAGGAGAGCAGCGCGGCATGGGCTCCTTTGATGCCGTTGCCGAGCGCTCCTGGCTCTATGTCCTCCAGGCCAGCCCAGCCATTGCCGTGTTCGACCTCAAGGCCTCCGAGGGCGACAAGGCCATGCCCAGAATCACTCAGTACCTAGACCTGGCCTCTCTCGGTAATGGCACTGACAGGTCGTCATGGATTGGACTGGCCGTCTACTCCGGTTGAACCTTGAGCTTGTCGCAATCCTTTAGAGTTTCCTGCTCAGGTATAATATAGAGTGAATTTGTTGCACTACTTTTCCCTCCATTTACTGAACCGCGGTGAATAAAGTTTGACATGCCGCCTCCCGTCGTTTCAGGTCATGTTGCCCTGGGGACCACTTAGATACTGCAGCCTTCACAGCAGCCAGCAGGTAGCCGGGCTTGCTTCTCGTCACTGCAGTGTTGCCGTTTCGTGACTCACTGCCACGCAACCCTTCGTGGCCGCACAAACGTTCAGTGCTGAGGCCTCCAGGATGGATCCAGCCTTGATAGAAATCCCTCCGAGCGCCCAGCAAGATTCTCCCTTCTGACCCACATCCCTCAACTTCAGCCTCCGCAGATCCTAGTCGACATTATTCCTAACATTGACGGCATACGGCTCTGTGCAGGCAGGACCATGTTACGACATCTAAACTTCTAAAGTATGTCGGCTTCCAGGGTTTCGTACTCCAGGGTGCGCCTCGCAGGGTCTGTAGCACCCAGCTTAGTTGGCGGATCTAAGCAACACACATGCTTGGCGGCTTGTTAGGGGCTACGGGCCAAACGGCAAACAGGCCACCTTTCCGATGTACGTGGGCCAGAGTAGCCAGCATGGAAATTTGATCTATTACACGGTACCCATCGCCGTAGTCAGCGGACTTAACAGCTCGTCAATGCTTACTAGGCAGGAAACAAATGATACGATTATTCAGTGGTGACGCTCGGCCGAGACTAGTAAGCGAATATTCCTCTAAAGAACCATAGAGTCTGAGCTGCTTCAACTGGGATAGCATACGAAGTATAGTCGCTAACACTCGGTATAGGTCAAATCTTCCCCTTGCTTACGCGACTCGCCTTGCAAATACCCGTTCCTCTTATCTAGGAGATGGGTACCGTGAAGACCATTGAGAAGTTCACGCACAAGGCAATTTTTGATTGCACCAGCTTTCGAGCGCCTGGGGCTTGCGTACGGAGCTGCACCCATGTCGGTGCTAACCAAGAGAGCCTGAGGGGCTGGTATGAGCTGAGGGCTGTCCGAAGTGCGGCACGAGACAATTTCATCGTCATGCCGCCTGGCTCGACTGCTTCCGGAAACTCGAGGCTACCGAATTCGGTATGGACAAGAAGCAACGTTTGGAAGAGAGAAAGAAAACGATCCAAACCAGAGTGCCGATCCGCGACATGCGAGAACACTGTGGGCAAGCGCACAGCTCAAACACGGGAGATGGGAGCCTTGGGCCCATCCCCTGTTGCTACGCTTGTCACGTAACAATGGGACATCGGGATCTGTGTCCCGGCCGGTGGGGTGCAGATGGGCTCCTGGAGGAATTCAAGGAGGCCGAGACTCTGGACATATTCAACATGTCGGGGCGGAAGGGGTATTCATGCTCTTGCGCGGAAGTGGCGTGCAGTGTACATTGTCAAGCACTTGCAGGTCCGGAAGCACACATTACGACACCGTCACTCGGGTTTGAAAGGAATTGGATCGCTATTCTATCCTATAAACGATCTAGGAGACTCCTCTGTCAGCTTGGCCATAATACAGGTTAGATGAAGGTCAACAAGCTATTTCTCGATGCCGGCTGTTTGCTTTATCTTGCGATTTGCGCGGCATGATTCCGCCGACGACGATCCTTCGACAGAGGTTCACCCAGGGTCTGAAGCGGAGGAGGAGCCTGTGACCCTAATGTAGTTTGCGCGAACACATTGATGAATTGAATGATCTTGGAGGGATCCACAACTAGCTCTTGGAGATTCAATTTCCCGAGAATCTTGGGTGCTAGCCGGGTGAAAGTCCTGAGAGGCACGCTCTGTCCTCGGATGCGAAATCGCTTCAACACCTGGGTGATTACTGCGGGGGAGATGCCAAACACTTCTGCGTTCTTGCGAATAATGTCGAGCGGAATCTGGTCATGGACGCCCGAGGATTCAAGGATTTTGAGAATCTTGTCGGTAAGCTCCCCAAGCGACAAGCTCCCCTGGCCCGCGAGAAGATTCATGAGCTGGGGCAGAGCTTGACAGAATGGACCCGCGTCGATCGATTCGCTAAACTTGACCGCGATCAAAACGAATGGAGTTAAGGGCGAGACCTGATCCGGCCGAGGCTGGAACTGCTTGAGTAAATCGTCGAGTTCTTTGTCAAGAAAAGTGCGGGCAAAGTCAATGATCTTGGTCTGACTTCCTGGCAAGGGAATGACAGTGTCTCTGAAACTAGGAGGGAGTTTCTTGAAGATTGTCGTCATTGACTTGGAAAGTTCTGAGGCGGGATCTTTCTGTGCCTTTAGAACTTCGAATATGGTTGGCGTAGCTCCGACCCCATCAAACTTGGGCCTCGCGGCAATCGCATGATCTTTGAGATTGAACACGGCGTCGGCAAGTCGTACAAATGGAAGTGCTTGTTTGTGCCTCAAATCCCTATTTCTCAAGGGTTTCGAAGTCTCAAAGGCCCGAGAGCAGGCCTTGAGTGATTTGCGCAGCTCGATCGTCTTGCATACCATATCCCCCCCGGAGACCAAGTCACCAGGCCACGCGACTATGGCCTTATCCATAGCCTTCACCTTCTCCATGACATCGAACATGGCCTTTCGGATGGATATAATGTCGGCAAGGCCGGAGCCCGCGAGGGCGCTGACGGACATAAGGACTGTGGCGACACGCATCTTGATGGTGCAAAACGAAAGAGTAAGAACAGTAAGTCTTTGTTCGAGGTTTGCAAACAGGAAAAGAGAGGCTATTTCTTTCAAATGGGAATGAGTGAATGTTATGGGACTGAAGGTTGAAAACATAAAAGCCAACAGGCAGACGTTGAACCAACTCCTCAGTGGGCATGCCGGACCGATTCATCAAACTTCGAGGGACATGCCGTGATATTAATATCATGGCCGGGGACATGAACTTTGATTAAGACTTTGCCTGGTCTACGCCCAATGTAAGATTAGGCGCCCGTAAGACTGACTACTTTGACCGTTTGACCATTCGAACTGTCAGGGTTCTTGCATAGAGCTTTCCCGTCTGCAATCATGCACCATCGTCGCCCAAATTTGCTCCGCCCCACCCCGCAAAACGCCAAACTCAGAAAGTTGATGACGAAAATTCGGTTGATATTTACTCTTGAACGAGGTGTAAGTAGGAACCAATGTTGCGCTTACACAGGACCATAACTATCCATCTCTCTCCTCAAGCATACACTGTTCTTGCTACTAAGCCCCAAATACCGGCGTGGACTATGGTGCGTCAACACTTAAAATGCTTGTTCTTACCAAAAAGTCGTGAGGTCTGCGGGGGAAGGCTGTGCAGAAGGTGAGGAAGCGGGTCTTGGAAACTTGAATCACCATGACTCGGACGGCTGTCAAGACAAGCGCGCATCTTACGCGTGACTTATTATGAGTCGCGAGCAAGTCGCCTCGGAACATGTTAAGCTTAACAACCTATCCTTAAGTCGCGATTGGACGAACAGTACCGAGGTTGATCGCATGAATGTTTGGACGACCTGTCCCTGGGTCCCTCGGGGCCCCCTCCCCCCCCCAAAAAACCCGGTCAATGCGTAAGCTGATTTTCCCGTAATTCCATCTGTTACTTCTCACCCCGCTTAAAAGCTCTCTCCCGAGTCCCGACTGGATGACAAAAATAACGGCACCGCAAATCGGCTCCCCGCTATGTATCCCCACTAGATCCAGCCAGCTGCCTTTCAAAGCCGGCATTTTGCACCTACTTTCCACGCTCGTGGTAATGTACTGGGGGCTAAAGTCACGTCAGCATAAGCGCGATTTGCGGCGCCTGTATCTTTGTCACCGCTGCCTCCCTAAGGAATTATATACATACGGATTCCCTTTGGCAAATCGGCGGCAAGCCGAGGGGGTTAATCCGGGGCAGTCCAAAAATTTATGGGGTCCATCTTCGTACAACCGGATTGCCACATGGTCCAAAGTAGCTGACCGATTCAGGGATGTGTGGGGACCGTTAGCCTTTCAGATGAGCGTCTTGTGAGTTGACAAATGCTCGAGAACTCCAGTGCTGCTGAGAAGTACTTATTTGACGTTCAGGACCTCTAAGGAGCTGATCGCCTTGGATGAAAGCACATTTCAGAGGCAACTCGGAGGTAGAACCGAGAGAAAACGGAGAAAACTGATGTTTTAAAAGGTGACTCTGCTCAAGTTTAAAATGAGAGAGACTGAGGGCAACAATCGAATAATTGTGTCTCGTCCCTCACTCTCTGGTTCATTGTGCTTGTGCTCTTTACAGACTGTGCCTCGGGCGATGATTGATTTCCTCGTAGGCCTACAAGTTGACAACCGATGCGAGTCAGAAATCTGCGTTGATCCGGACCTCCTGGTCCCACCATCCACTTTAGCTCGTAGACGATCAACCAAGAAGTGGGTTTCGTGTTTCGGTTCGTTATTAATAAAGTAGTGCTAGAGCAGAGACAGTTGAAGGCAAGGCCGCTGACACACACACAAACCCACTCTGTCCGAGGCCTCTTCGGACGCTTGCGGAGAGAATAACCTGATAACCCGACAAGCGATTCGAGTCGATGCCTTCATGGCCGATGTAGTCGACCGAAGCGCGCTCAAAAGCATCCTGCGGTTTACGTATAGTTTAACTAGCAACGTACATGGCACGACCTACTGTCTACAAAGGCAGAATTCAACATCCGACTACGCGACGCACGCCGGCAGGTTCGCTGGGCAGACACCTCTGACAGAGCCTATCCAGATAGCCAAATATCTGGATAAAAATCAGAGCCTTACGATTCAAAGTTAGACTTGAATTTACTGGATCTGATCTGAATAAAAAAGTATCTAATATACTGACTTGCAAGCCTGGGACCCTTGCAAGCCTGGGACCCTTGCAAGCCTGGGACCCTTGCCTTTGCACGGCGAATCGCCTTGTCAGCCAGGGGGGGTTTCAGCTTCATCCGGAGCCGCAGCGGAACTTTCCTGTAGTAGAAGACGTATTCGGATGTCTTTCGTCACTAGTATGAACGGGTCAATCGCCCATCCTCGCGAGTGGACTTCACATGGTGCATGTGAGGACACGGGTAATTGACTCAGTTTATCGGCCTTGAACCATGCACATTCTTCTTTGTATCGCGCAACGTTTTTGTGACATATGTAGATCTTTGTCAATATAGATGAATAATGGTTGACAGTATCGCGCATGAAAGAGCGAGTCATGTTAGCAGCTTTGAAGGCACTGGGTATGTTTCGCAAGGTATCATGCCCTATGCTCCGTGAAAAAGGGCAAAAGCGTCACGGACTGGACCCGGCTGTGCGGGGTCAGCTTTGGCGCAGCAGTTACCATGCGAAATCACGGACACTTTTCCTCTCTTCCTTGGCTCTTGGCAGACAACACAAAGGCGGTTGCTTGTTGAAGAGACTCTGGCCAAGCTTCTTACACATATATTGGACTATTAGCCCGAACCCCGCTATCGTCTGCCCCATCTATCTACTTGGCTGCCGAGTCTGCCGCCGTTCCGTTGGGCTGGGGACCGTCGTCGGGTTGACTAGCTCCGCTATCAGTTAATTCCTTCTCCATGAGCTCGTCAATTTTTTTCGAAATGCCGATCTGGGTCGAATTCAGCGACTTCTCCAACTCGTCCATCAGCTTTGGTATTTGGTCGGCCGATTCATCGTCCTGCTCCCTTCTCTCGACATGCATCCCCGACACGGCCCTGGCATGGAACTTGTCGGCCGATCCGGTGCTGACGTCGCCAGAGCTCCTGACACTGACAGTGGCAGTCATGGCAGTCACGGCAACTTATTACATTGTTAGCGGGACAATGGGGCAAAAGGGAGAAAAAGAGTTGGCAATAACGTACAGGCCAAAACGGATGCGGTAATGCGGACCATTTTTGAGGATGTCGAGTGGAAGTGGTAGAGTAAAAAGAGAAAGAAGGTGTTGATCAAGGGAATGAGAGGAATTGTTTCTGAGAGATGTGATGAAGTGGTGGTTGTCGATGAGATAGTTGACTCCAGACGGGGCCGTCGACATCTCTTATACGTATTCCTGGGGAGAGGGCGAGTGTGACGTGGCTGAGCCAAGCTGACTCGATGGGCTTGAGGACTCGGGGCTGTCAAAGAGTCCTTGCATTGATCGGAACTAACTGACTTTGACACTTCGTCTGTCTTGCATTGTTAAGATATGCCCGGTGGTTAGAGGCGACACTAGTCCGCCATGGATTAGAGTCAGCAACACTGCAAAACTGGATCAGAACACTAATTACCGCCTCGGAGAAACCCTGGAGCATGCGTGCAAGTGGCGGCCTCGCAGCACGCATCACGACGGATGCCCGGCGGCATCACCCAAAATGACAAGCCACTTAATTCCCAGCAACATAACGCTGGCTTAACTGGATTGAGCAACATTGGCTCGAACAATCAATTTGGGCGTCTGCTGAATAATAATTGATGAAAGTTCCGCTAGCGGTTAAAGGCTCCAGTGCACGATTCAGGAGATTCAATGTTGGCGCTGTACTGACAAGGGAGTCAGCTATCATTCGCACCAACATCCCATCTGCTAGAGCGTTACACTTTCGCCTAGTTAAGCGTGTTTCTAGTTTTGATAGGTTCGTAATCTAGTCCTTCCTGGGTTTTCGCGCATTTCCTCCCCAAGGAGCGCCCGTGACTCTCAACTTGGTCAGGACGGCCTCGTCATCCAATCCCATGTTTCCGGCGTCGTCCGGCGCCCCGTCAAGAGCCGCCACCTGGGCCAGGCGTCCTCGGCGAATAACTTTGGCCTGGCTTCCCCCTACATCTGTCCTAGTAAGTACAAACAGGCCCGCTGAAACCGGTGCATACAAAGAAAACCTTGGGCGTAAACGTATCGGCAAAGTCTGGCCTTGACCCCGATTCTGCTGAAAGGGGGGCATGGGCACTAGGGAGGCCGGCTGAATGAGACGGCAAAACCCTCTTCCTGAAAGAGAAAAACGGAAAGTTCGCAAGACGGGCCGGGTACGCAAGGGAAGACTTGACCTATATTGTGTGTTAGCGACTGTGTGTAAGTCCGAATGGAGCAGCTCATGTAGTTAACGTACCCGTGTACTTCCCTAGCGAGGTTGGGAGGTGGCGATGCGGGACCGCCAGTCCATCTCGCCTCACACGCTCTCATAGTTAGGCAGGCACCATAGAAGTATTTCCCAGGGGGGCACTACCCGAGATGCTTGTCTGGTCGGGGTCGCGTGCAAACACTGCCTCTATTTGCATGAAAGCCGGCGTCTGTGTTGCTGCATCTGGGGCTACTGCTGCCTTCAAGCTCAAGCAGCGAAGCGATGCTTTGACGTCCAATAGCACCAGACGGACAGTCTCGGCAGGGAGGTGATTGTGCATGTATTCCCAGAATCGCCGTCCCACATGAAGGTTACGTTGTCCGTCATGGTAGTCAAACGGCAGTCATCCAGGCAGCAGGATAAGTATCGTCATGGTGGGAGGAAAGGTTCTGCTGGACGAGGCAGCGGGGATTTGCCGGCATGGTGATTGGAGGGACTGTTCAGGGCATTTTGTTGACTGGTTGGGGGTCGGCGAGATGTTTGGAAGACGCGATTGACAAAGTGTGAAGGTTTTCATCCATTTGAAGAGCGAATGTGAGGAGAGATGTGGGATATTTGGGTGAAGTCATGAAGACTCTGGGAATATTGGGGGGGGGGAAACGAGTGGGAATTTATGCGAGCGGAGTGGGGTTGTCATTGTCATATGGTCAGCCAAATTGAGTGTCGTCTGCCTGGCACAGCTGCTGCCAGAGGAGACATAATTCTTTGGCCATTGAGCATGGTTCACCGCGCTTTGTATTGACAGGTATATCCTAATGTTGCCAAGTGTCGGCCCCGTTAAGAGTCGAAGGGAAGCCACCAAAGTTACCCAATGCTTCGTTGCTTAGAAATGGCAGTTTAAAATTAAACAGCTTTTCGCATCGACCAGCAATGACAATCTTCAACTGTTCAACATCAGTTAGCTTGGACTGAAATTAACACTCGAATATCCGATCTACTACTCCGTATACGGTTGTAGCTCATGAGAGTAGCTCGCCCTGGAAAAACAAGTCAGATCCACAGGTTGTGTCAGATGGGCGGCCTTCTTAAGGCCAGAAGCCTTAACTGCGGGACGGTCCAGAGGAACACATAAATGCCCAGGACAGCATTCACTCTACACGCTCAATCTTGCTTAGTTGCTTGCCCAGCCGGAAAAAAAAGCCGAAGAAGGGGTACATGTTCACTTAGAGGAGCTGATGCTTCCACGGGGCATCGACTCACGTCGTCACAAAAGGTGCCTTCGAGACACAGCCTCTCTGTTCCAAGTCTTTATGTCCAGTAGGGCTGGTCATTGCCAATCCGGTGAGCGTAGCATAGATGACAACGACAGCCTTCATGCTGGCAATGGTGCGTCTGTCCAGGAGCTGAACGATGTTGGCGAGGGAGACTTGAGGCGAATCTTGCAAAGCTGCCAATAATGTTTTGAATTCTGCAAATCTTGACAGTCGTAGCCTCTTTATACCCAAGAGCTTCTAGCATCATGTCTACTGACTACAGAAACAGTAGAAAACTCTTCGGCTTGCATCGGCAGCTGTATTCTTTGGTATCGCACGCGTCTTAATTAACTACTGTTGAGGAGAGAGAGTGGGCATAAGAGGCCACAGTCATGCCTAGTGGACCCAATAGTCATGCACAAGGAAGCCTGCCTAACTAACATGACTCCCCTAGCCCAAGGACATCATGCAGGCCTGACTTAGGTATAGGAACATCTTAATACCCTCTTTTAGCTAGCTATGTGTGGTCACTATACCTATATAAGCCCCTCCCTTGTCCCAATAGATAGACGAGGACATGCATCACTAAATTCACCTTTCTGTGCCCCTACTTCTTCCACTGTGCTCTCAAGCCCCTGCTTGAGAACTACCATATAGGTCTGGTATGAATGACCGCCGTGAAAGCGCCTATCGTCACAGCTCCAAACAAGGGCATAAATGCCACCTAGCAATTTCACAAGTGCAACATGGCTTATATACGTTGGACTTGTTGGTCAAATTATCATTTAAATTATATGCCGCTGCATCACCCTCGAAAGCGTAGGCTTGAGCAGACATCCAGAGTAGACTCTTCTAGGAAGTTAAACATATTTAACATTTACGCAGAGCTGTCGCACAAGGCTGGCGCAATGTTGCGGATGAAGCGAATGGGGAGAGGCAAGTTGGAAGGCAAAGCGTTGAAATCTCGTTGCGCGGCATGCCGCTGGCTGCGACGGCTATGCTCTTGTATGACGACCGAAGTAAGAAGATCTGGCTGATTTTTCCTTTGGCATTCCCATACAGTACACCCAGACATTGAAGGCGTGCAACGCCTCGGTGGTGAAGACTCCCGTCTCCTAGCCCTTGGGGTGGAGCGGGGCGAGGGCCGAGGTGACAGCGATAATGGCCTTGCGAAGGGGGACATTGCGGGTGCTTGATTGCTGAGCGTGAAAGTTGAGATGAGCAACTGAATTTAGGTGTTGACTGCTGATTGTTCCATGGACGAGCGATGCATGACTTATACATGCGGTGTACTCCCCAACTAAGCTTGCATAGAGTACGATTATTACATGAGAAGTCCCAATCCAAGCAGCACATGGAGAGGCCACAAAGCAGTTCCATTGCTTTCGTCGCCACAATGTGCTACCGTCTTACCAAGACCACTTACAGGCATTGGCAAGCACCACGTACGTGAATAGACAAAGTGTCATAACTGATCATTGAAGTATTGGGTTAAGACTGATTACAAAAGAGGGGATAGTCAGGGCAGTGTAATTCGTCTCGGGGGGAATTAGGTCCGGGTATTCTTTGTTGGTCCTGTGGCTGAATTGTTGCTGCTTATTGGAGCTCTTGCCTTGGTACGACGTTTCTGACGCTAGAAATCAGGTTCTGCGATATCAAGTGGATGTCACAGGTCCGGCTTTGGTGGGCGGTCAGCGGATTACCCCGCAGATTACCGCCGATTACCCGCTTGCCCTTGACATCACCTCTGCCGGGTTGATGTCATCTTCGGAGCGCCATAAAGCGCGAAAGCCGGGACCGACGACGAGAAAACCAGTTCGACTGGATAGCCTGCGTTTGTGCGATCAGAATGCACCCTGTCTAAGGTCCTACATCCTGTCGGTTGCGAGGTTGCGGTGATTTGAAGCATTTTCTAGCCTTGACGCACTGGAGCTACAGCGGCGCTTAGCGGATGCATCACCTGTCTACAGGCCACTACCGCTGACTGTAGCGACGCAGCCCCTGACGGCCTGGGGGCACTTTCGCCGCCAAGGTCCTCGTCATTCTATCAGACGGGTGTTCAAAATCACTGCGCCATCGACTTTTCGCTACCACCGACGTTGAATTGCCCCGACGCACGTTTGTGTCCCTTTTTCGCCTTGCCTGTCCTTTCGGATGGCCTTGAACAACTTATCCAAAGAGCTGGGTCCACGTTCTTCGTCCATTTGCCTCGCCACGATATCTTCAGTTAAGCCGTCCGACTGGGCCCGCCTCCGAACCTCATCGACGATGATCTTGCGCGTGGAAAGGTAATTCTTCTCTGCAGATGGCCGCCATCGAGCACCCCAGTCTCGCTCAAGAGAATCCACAGAAGGCATTTCGCCCCAGCCCTGCCGCCAGAGACGCAGCAGCTCCTGTACAGATTTGACAGAACGGGGAGCTTGAAGCTCGGAGGTTCGCGCGGCCCAGGCGGCTCGCCATGCGCTCTTCCTGGGGGCTTGCCTGGCCCGCTGCACCATTCCCTGCTGCTGCTCTAGAGAGCGGAGCGTATGTCGGACCGCCCGCTTGCGAAGGGCCTATCTCGGACCTGAGGACCGTCTCTCGTGGAGCGCGGCGCCTCTGTTGATGAGCT